CCGCGGCTGCGGGCGGGGGCGGCGGCCGTCGTGCACGACCTCGGCGCCCTTCTCCACCGCGGCGCCGTCGAGTTCGAGGCGGGCCCCTTGGAAAATATTAAACCGCACAAGGAGGGCGCGGCGTTGTCGGGCGCCAGCCATGACATCGTCGCGGCCGTCGTGGAGCTTCGCGCGGTACTGCACGTCCTGCAATTCCCCGCCGCGGTCCCGCTCTACACGGGGGAGGAAATCATCCTACAGCGGGTTAAACGAACCCGGTTCGTAATAGACGAGGAGGAGACCCAGAAGATGCCAAGCCGCTCCCCGGACAGGGCGGTATCGCCGGAGGAAAAAGACGGCGTGGCAAATTCACCGCGCGATGTCGAGGCGGTGGGGGGTCCACCGAACGACGACGCGCAAAGTGGCGGTCGGGTGAGCCGCCCCCCACAGCAAATCGCGGCCGAGACGGTACCGCTTGGCGTGGATAAAGGCGGAGCCACCTCGGGGGTTGAGGTGGAAAGGAAAAAAGACAACGGTGTGCGGAGCCCTGCGGTTATGGACCGACATACCGTGCGGCCGGTAAGTCGTTACGAAAGTCCCATGGAAGAGGATGACGAAATACCTGATATCGATTTGGAGGATTGAGCTCTGGTGGCGCACCCTTTCTGTGGACTATTTCAACGAAGGTCAATAACTCACATACAGAACATACCCCCACACACCTACCCTCGATTACAAACAACTATTGCGGTATAAAAATCAGTAGCACATTTGTAGTTCATTAAGTCTCGTGTAAAGTTCTTAACATAAAAACTAAGATTGAACCGCGTTTAACGATTCCAGACACCACACATCCTGAGGTTGGGGATCGATTGAAAATAATGATAATTATCTGTCAAGGGCCCAAGCTTTAGTGAAAGCTGAAGTAACTACAAAAGAACACTTCATAGGGTAGAATCTATTCGGTTTGATCGTATTCAAGCAGATATGACATAATGTGTTCCTTTGTTTCCTCTTTTTCTTTGTGTTTCTTTGGATGCAGATATACTAAGTATCGCGACCTGTTGCCACACTAAAACAGTACGATTCCAAACTCAGAGCATATTCACTTTTTTTTCCTTACCCCCCCCCCCAAAAAAAAAAAAAAAAAAATCCCCCTTTCAGAATTCAATACGCCAGTGTGGAATATAAGTCAAACCACCCCCTAACTCAACCCTAATACCAACCCACTAATCCCAACACCACCCCTCGATCCATGGCGCGGCTGGTCTACTCCCTAACCCTGAACCAGAAGCCCAAGCTGGTGCGCGTGCTGCGCTACGTGACGGCCGACCTGCTGATTGTGGCGGTCGCCTACGAGGCCTACCCCGTCCCCACGCGCCGTCCGCGGGGTTACTTCAGCCTCGTGGAGTTCCCCCTGCGCGGCGGCGGCGGCGCCGTCGCGGCCCCGCCGGACGCCCGGGTCTTCCACCTGCCCCTCCCGTCACACAACTCCAGCGGCACCCCCTCCGCCCTGTCCCAGGCCGTGACGTCCCTGGCCCTCGTGTACAGCCCGGAGGGGGACACCGTCTACGTCGTGTTGCAGTCCCGCCCCGCGCACGGGGACGGCCCCGGGGCCTGCCACGTCTACCGCC